ATTCCCAGTTTTTCTCCCACCGGAAGCTGTCATACTGAATTCAAAATAGCGTGAGACATCTATTTCCGGACCCTACACGTCACCCAATTCTAAAAATACCCATATTGAGTATAGTCGCTATATTCATAGTCTGGCGGATAGAATCTCGGGAACCAATTGAGCTGTCAAATAGCGGAACCAATCGAGCAAATTACGACCAACGACAGAAAAGAGCACATCAGCTAATGCGGACAAAATTCCGGAAACCGTTTTTTCGTGGCTAAAGGCTCACCTACACAAACTAACGCCATCTTTAGGTTGTGGAAAGTTTCCCCTATCCGATGATGCTGGTAATTTACCTTCGATTGACGAGGAAAGAATAATCAACGTTTTGTTTATAAAAGTTGGTAATACATTTTCAATTGTTGGTCTACAATATATTGAATTGGTTCCGCTTTCTACAATATATTGAATTGGTTCCGCTTTTTAATAGATCGAAATTCTACCCGCCAGACTATGAATATAGCGGCTATAATATTGAGGGGTATTTGGCAGAATTTTCAAATTTTTTCTCCAACCAGAAGCTGCCATATTGAATTTCAAAATGGTCTCAGACATGGGTTTCGGATCTCTACACGTCATTCCGATTCCAAAAATACCCATATTGAGGAAGCCGAAGAAATTATTGGCTGGAAAGGAAACAAAAAAAAAATGATTGGAACAAATTTAGAAGTAATAAATTACCAAAAACCGCAACCATCGCTTTTATAACTCCAACAGTTTCCATCCAGTCGACTGCAGCGGAGGCTACGACTCTTGTCACTTAAAATCGTCACTTCAGTACGACTTTTGTCACCGAAAAACGACTGTGAGAATAAGGTGAGAGTTCATTGGGTTCATCCCAAGTGACTTTTCTCACCTCACTCGCCAGCTGGAATCGGGTGACACGAGTGACTCGAGTCACCTCACCTCATTCGCCACGCAGAATAACCCTGTATATGTCTATTAAGTAGTCCTTAAATTTTCTACTAGCGAAGCATTAACCAGATTTAAATAAAAAGCTCCATTTGCAAAATAAAAGCATTTTAAGATTGCACTCGTATACCTCACCGTGTAAAATTTTGAAACCATCATCACTCTCATAGTTCTTCTATTCTCCACGAGTGTCAACTTTGATTTGCCAATTATCAACTCTGATGCTTGCAACTTCTTGAGCACTGAAAACGAAACTAGCTCAGAGAGTGAGCCAGCTTTACTCATTTGTATGGAGAAATTTTCAAAAGCGTACACCCTAATGCCTTGTTCAGAGGTGTTACAGAGTTATAACATGTTATAGCGCTATCTTGATGGTGGATTCTGTGTTGCAATTATTTGACAATCGTTATAACATGTTATAAGTCTCCAGTCTGGACAACGTTTAAGCAACGATTACCTAAAACTATCGAAAAAAATCCGTTACCTTTTCTTTAAATTGGCTTTTTTACTTTTTTACTATAAATTAGGACATTTTAAACGTTAATTCAGTGCCAACATTTCAAAGGGGCGTAATCGCATTTGTAAACAATGGCTTTAGCCGACGATATCTCGCGAATAAAAGCTCACTTATGAAAAATAATGACACCAATAGGTAGAGGAATATTTCCTCTACCATCTAGCGTTGTTATTTTGAAGGAGTGAGCTTTAAGATGCGAGAAATCGACAGCTAAAGCCATTGTTTACAAAAGCAGTTACGCCCCTTTGAAATGTTGGCACTGAATTTTTGGTAATCCATGATTACCGATAATTAAGGTATGTCACTTTCTTCCATTATCGGTAAGTTCTACCGATATCTAGATATTCTTGACCGACTTTGAGGTATGTGCATCTTAAGCGCTGGCCAGACTGAGCAGTTATAACATGTTATAACGGTTAAATAATTGCAACACAGAAACCACCATCAAAATTGCGCTATAACATGTTATTACTCTCCAGTCTGAACAAGGCATTAGCGTGTAGGTCACTCAACGCATGAACAATCTACGGAGAAAAAATACTACCCAAAATTTGAGTCCTTTTTACTTAATATTGACTTCAGCCTCTCACTTGCACTCGTTATTGTTGTCAAAAAAAAGAACAAGAGATTCAACCCAACGATATAGTTCAGCCCAATACGTTACTTTTGAGTAAATTGCATATTCTCAAATTTACGTGAATTACACTTAATTTTGGGTAGAATATACTTAAGAGTAGGTATTTTTTTGCTGGTGTTAAATGGAAGCTAGGGATTTACTCAAATTTGGGTTATTGGGCTGAACCCCGGAATTGAGGGAAAAGTACATAATTTTACGTAGTTGTCCATCTCCATGTAGACGCTAAGATGCCCATAAGTCAAAGTCGATAAAGAATACCTAGATATCGGTAAAAATTACCGATAATCGAAGAAAGTGCACATACCCAAATTATCAGTAATGATTAACCAAAAAATTAACGTTGAACATGTCCTTATTTACAGTATAAAGTAACGATTTTTATCGGTAACAAATACCGACAATTTTAGGCAATCGTAGCCTTTAAAAATGTCTCCATACGAATGAGTAACTGCGACTCACTCTCTGAGTGAGCTTCGTTTTCAGTGTTCACACGGTGCAACATTTTACGATTTTAGTGAAGGCAAGAACCCCGAAGAGCAGTAGCAGAGTCCGGAACCGCAACACAGAGGTATGACGTTACAAAATGACGCGCAGCAACAGGAGCGAGCGGCGTTACGAAGTACACAACGAGGGGCATGCAAAAGCGAATAGCTAAAAAACTGTCACTACCGGACGGGCGCACGTGCGCGAATAAAGAAAGTAGTGGGGGAGAAAATTAACTGAAAAGAGGATCGTAACAGAAGGTGATGTGTGTAATTATTGGGGTACAAAATTATAAGGATTGATTTTTATTGGCTGTTTTTTGTCACAAAACAAAGAATTACGGTTATTGCACTCGTTCTCGTATGCCTAGCTAAATGTATTTATGTGTATTGTTTGTGTTTACGTGTGTGTTTAGTTGACTCGATAAAGCGCAAACTGTGTTTCCTACTCTAAGAATAACTGAATATTGGTTGAAACAACGGAAAACTACTCATTGTGTTGTACAATCAACTGCAACGTGCATTCGCAGTCAGTCAAAGTTACGATGAATATTAAAAAAACGGTGTCCTTCGCCGGAACCTACAGCCTTCTCTGGGGTTTGTCTGAATGTCCAAGCATTAGAGGAACGGTCGATTATGTAAACGGTTTTCTTGAACTTTGGAACAACCTCCAAGTTCTGCACTAATACTTGGGCATTCAGAGAAGTCTATTGAACTTGGAGGATGGTGGAAGGACTCTGCAATTTGTTTTTTTTTTAGGTTTGTTAGGACCCAAAAACCCCGCTAGTTCGAGTAGTTGCAGTAGTAAGTAGTAGTAGTAGTAGTAGTAGTTGTAGTAACAGTAGCAGGCCTTACGTGTATGTATGTCTCAGTTTGTATATCACAGAAGCTTACGTTTTAAAAAATGGTTCTCTCATACCTGCCTACTGAAAATTTGTAATGCTTATATTAGCAACGCTAAAAGTACTTCACTAAATACTTGAAATTAAGTCCGATCTGCCTCGAGATGGAACGGTGCTATAGTTGCTAGCAACTGTTGATAGTCTTTAGAAAGTAGTTTCGCGCCCGTTGATCCCGGTTGATGGTGCTAACATTGAGCTTGCGGCTTAATTAAATGGCACTGGTATTGTAGCGTTGATCTTTACGGTATGGTGGTCATTAGTTGAGCGTTGGTCTGTGTTGTATAAAGACGGCAAAGAACCTCTAAAAGTTACATCAAATCACCGACTTTCGGTTTCATACGAATATAGGGTTTTGGATTTCAGGTCGAAAACGACCCGAAGACCATCGTCACACTTAAATCCCACCTAACAAGTAACTACTTGATCCTTCATACTGAAAGCCTGATTGAAGACTACTGTTCACGCTAAATCTGAACTGTTCTACAATAACTTGTAAAGAAACACCTTAAGAATGTGTGACGATTTACGCATTTTGATTGTTGATGCCTCTCTTGGAATTGTTTGTAATATAATCTTTCCTCATTTCCCCTAAAAACCAACAACATCTAACGACAGTTTCTTCAAACAACAGCCCATCTCCATCCATCACATGGCAGTCGTCTACATCGTATTTGTTTATTATACAATGAATACCTAGCTTATCTAGCTTTCAATGAAAACCTCAGCTTTCACGTTACATACATTCCTATCGCCTATCTAAACGATCACGCAACCGGATTCACCCCTGGTCACGAATCTTCTCTAAATAAAAGTACACAGCTATTTACAAAGCTCCCTCCGGATCCCGCAACTCACTTCGGAGGAATTCTCAATGCCTCGGGCATAAGTATCTAGATCTCTTAGGAATTCTAAATCGTCCGATATACATGCATAGATATACATGCTTAGTTCGGAACGAACAGTGAAAAAAAAACCTCACACGTGAACGCACTTTTGATTCGTGTGCGCGTGAATAAATTAAATGATTAGGAAAACCCGCTTCCTTCCCTCTCGCCCGGGGGCAACCAACCCCCAAGGGAAGTTCAGACGTCGGTAATTTGTCGACTACTACCTTCCGTCATCGTCGTCGCTGTCGCTGTCGTCGTCATCAAGTGGCTACTACCGCTACTAACACCACCAGCTACTACCGGGGGCGGCGGATTGCTGCTGGGATTACTGTCAGCGACGGGGCTACTATTGATATTGATAATGATCGTAACGATCTGATCTGGCTCGGTGGAACCACTACTATTACTACTACTGCTATTGCTGTCGACAACACCTCGGCTTGCAGTGCCGCCGCTGGCAGCAAGACCGACACCGCCGTTGGAGGAATTCGTAGCCGAGGTGATGGTCGAACTGTTGGAGGGAGGTGGCGGGGGTGCTACGCTAAAGTAATCGGCGATGATGGGATTGTTCTGGGCGGACGAGGAAGACGAGGACGACGAGGAACCGTGTGAGGAACCCACCACAAAGCCGTAGTGCTTGAGGATGTCCATCTTGCACATCGGACAGGTGCGGTGCTCCAGGAGCCACGGGTCGATGCAGGTTTTGTGGAATTCGTGCCTGAAATGATAAAAAAAAGGCGATGAGGTTGAAATAAGGTGGTCAAAACAACGGGCGGCTGTTACTCACTTGCAGGGAAGAACGCGTATCACATCCGTCACCTTGTATGGCTCAATGCAGATGGCACAGCAGTCGTTGTCGATTTCCTGTCGGATGGAATGAAGAAAATTTAAAATCAATAACAGCTGCCATGTGGGAGAGTTCCGTTGAGAGTAATTGAATCAGCTGTAACCTTCGGGATTGAAACTGGTCAATCATCGATTTTGATGACAATGAACAATTTGAGATTTCAGGAGACTGCTATTGGCCTTTTTAATGCACCACCAACGTAGAGTGCGCCACGCGAGTTCGGGAGGAAATGTTTGTTTACATCAGAATAAGGATTTTTCCCAACGCAAATTAAAGCATTTTTCATTGAACATCTTGCCAATTTCCAGCAGTAATTGTCTTATTTTACGACTTTCCATAGATCTGAACTGATTTGTACCTCAACTATTAACGCACAAGAAATCCGGAAGACCATAACCACTAAGGCATTCTTCTAATTTTCCATTTTTCTCAACAAAAATATTCCTGAACACCAGCAGGATCCTTGCAAAAACGATACAGAACTAATTTTTTCAACTGACGATCAAGTTTTGGAGCATCTAAGATGAATCTATTTATCAGGAATAGTGAAAAAATGTCCCGGTTCCTATGTCTCACGGCAGAAATTTCTGCTCACACAGCGTTGCCAGGTCATTTTCAGAAAAATCTGGACCAGGTAAAATATAAAATCTGGAAAAATCTGGAATGCTCCAAAAAATCCTCTTTTTAACATAAAGGGTGATACGGTCAAAATTTGGTCAAGGGAAAACGCGTGTAAATCGGTGAAATCGTTTATTTAAAAAATCAAATTAAATTTCTTTTTCAAGTTCAATTAGTATAAAATTCAGGGAAAATATTCAGTTAGGCTTCCGCTTTTCCAAATCAGAATTGCCGGGCCTTACGCTTGACCCCTGCCATCAGATTTTGTACAGCCACCTTGTCCACCTTCTTCGCCGCAGAAAGCCAGTTTACCTTGAACTGCTGCTCGCCCTTAGCAGTTTTTTTGGTCTTCTTTAGGTTCCGCTTGACAATAGCCCAGTATTTCTCAATTGGGCGGAGCTCTGGCGTGTTGGGAGGGTTCTTGTCCTTGGGAACCACCTGCACGTTGTTGGCGGCGTACCACTCCATGGCCTTTTTACCGTAATGGCAAGATGCCAAATCCGGCCAAAACAGTACGGAACAACCGTGTTTCTTCAGGAAAGGCAGCAGACGTTTATTCAAACACTCTTTCACGTAAATTTCTTGGTTGACAGTCCCGGAAGCTATGAAAATGCTGCTTTTCAAGCCACAGGTACAGATGGCTTGCCAAACCAGATATTTCTTTGCGAACTTTGACAGTTTCATGTGCTTGAAAACATCTGCTACCTTTCCCCTTCCTTTTGCCGTATAAAACTCCTGTCCCGTAAGCTGCTTGTAGTCGGCTTTGACGTAGGTTTCGTCGTCCATTACCACGCAGTCAAACTTCGTCAGCATCGTCGTGTACAGCCTCCGGGATCGCGCTTTGGCCGTCGTATTTTGTTTATCATCGCGATTTGGAGTCACTACCTTCTTGTAAGTCGATAGTCCGGCTCGTTTTTTGGCTCGATGCACGGTTGTAGACGATACACCCAGCTTATTTGCGGCATCTCGGAGAGAGAGGTTAGGGTTTCGCTTGAAACTACCGGCAACTCTCTTTGTCGTCTCAGCGGCTTCCGGTTTTCGATTTCCCCCCGATCCAGACTTCCTGGCTGTCGACAAACGTTCCCCAAACACTTTAATTACATTTGTAACGGTTGATTTGGCAACTTTTAGCGATTTTGCCAACTTTGCGTGCGAGTAGCTCGGATTTTCGCGATGCGCGAGCAAAATTTTGATACGCTGCTCTTCTTGCTTGGACGGCATTTTGACAACTGAAGAGTGAATTCCAAAATCAAAATAGGAGCAACATTCTACACACACACACACCTTCAAAATGAGGGGTGTTCAGGTTTTTTAAATGCAAAATTGAAAGAAATACGTCAAGTTGATATTGACCAAATTTTGACCGTATCACCCTTTAATGCTATTGAAATCAAAGTGATTTGCCAATCTTCCGTACAAATAGGTCAGTATGATCATCTGGAGTTTATTTAAAGTACTAGAATGGTCATATAAATTACATGTTTAAATAAATAAAATAAAGCAAATAACTTATTAGTATTGCTAAAATCATCCAAAAGTTCAAAAGTATTTACACGGTGTGCCCAAAAAGTTCAAATATCCATAACGCAGCATTTAAACTATTGAGTTAAATGTGGGTAAAAAACAGCAAAAAATATGGTTATAATTGTTTTTTAAACTGTAACATTTTTAAAAAGAATGAAAAGAAAAAAATCAAGGAAATTTGATGGGGTGGATTTTTGAACTAATAGTCGATGTAGTCCTTACTATTTGATGCAGTACCATAATTTAATGATTTTATTAGTTCTAAATAATTCTATTATTACTCTGAGGTTGATCAGATTTACAATTTATTTCTTGACATCATACAACACACAACACCCAGCAGACCAGTAGGCAATTTTATTTTTAAGCAAAACTCACCGGGCTGAAGTGGGAATCAAAGCCTAACATCGTGGAACTCACACACAGTTTACCTCCACTCCACTCCACTCTTCGCATGACCATTACGAATAAATTAATTAGAATAATTTTATTATATTACTAAAATAAAAGTCTGATAGCTTCATTTTGAAGTCTCAAGAACTTCCTGCGTCTCAGATCATGAATGTTTTGTTAGTCTGGATTTACTTGGAAATCTTTACAGGATATCTTCGCCTTCTTTTTAGTTTAATTTGAATCATCCTAGAATTCTATCAATTTTTTTTCTATACTCCCCTAAAATAATCTTGAAAATATATAAACTTTTCCAGTAACATTCTAAAGGGTCACGCACATTAGATCCGGATCGGACGCGTTGCGGCAAAGTGACAGCTAAATCTATTGTCTAACTGTCAAATTTACGTCAACGCAACGCAAACGGATCTAATGTGGGTGGGCCTTAACAGTTCTTAGCATTACCTCTTGTAATCTCTTATAAATCACTCTCCATTTCCACAACTCCCTCAAATTGGTAATAATTTCCAAGAATTGGCTCAATTTTGTGTCCATTTTTCTCTATGAAATTCTTAAAATATTCTTAACAATTTTCTTGGTACACTCTTCAGAATGACCGTCACACTCTTCTTAGAACCATCCGATAATTCCCTTTAAACTGCTTCGTAGGTAAGGTCAGAATTGTTTTGAAATCCTTTTCAATATTCCTAAGTACTCAAGTACTTTGTCAAAATGGTTTTGAAAGTCTCATAGAAATTGTGCTTAAAATTTTATTAAAATTAGTCTCCATAGAAACATTGGACAGAAATCCTTTGAAATTATTCTCACGATTCGTATCAGCATACTCCTTAAGTGTCGTTATAAGAATTTTCTATGATTTCTCTTCCGGATTGTATTCCCTTTATTGACAAAATCTCCATGGAATTGTCATCAGAGTTGACAAGACAATTGACACCGTCTTCAACCAGAGGTTGCACAGACTCAATATTTAACACTAGACAACGGACAACACACCACACCCATTAGACCAGTAGGGACATTTTCAGGTTGCCAAAATTTGCAACGGCTGGAGCGGGAATCGAACCACCAAAGTAGCTTGAAATTCACCTTTGATTTCACAAAGAATTCGCCGCACACTTAATTGTGAACTATTTTCAGAATAACCTTAAAATTCCAATAATGTCCAACGTTGATGACCTTTAATAATTAAAGTAGCAAGCTTGGCTTTTTATTTTTTATAAGAGGGTAAATTAATTTCAGTGATATTTTTAAAGCAACATGTTTAAAAAATCTGGGAAAATCTGGAACATATTTAAAAAATCTGGAAATATACGTTGTCTGTCTGTTTATCTGGCAAGACGACTAAAAATCTGGAAAATCCAGATAAATCTGGAATACTGGCAACGCTGTCACAACACTCTTTTTGAAGTTCTCTTATTCACCACCAGCGGTTGAATCGATCACTTAGTTTCTATTAAAAAGTCGTATTATCTCTGTCGAATTATTTATATTAAAGCCCAGTGACCCATTTATAGATCAGCTACTTTTGTGACTATTGTCGCTAGACTTGAAAACCGAAATGACCAACTCGCGACAATCGATTTTACTCTTGTTGTGTACGTTAAAGATAAAGTCGCATCTAGTGCGAACTATAGCGCATCATTTGACGAATACAGCGCACTAGATGCGACGTCATGTTTAACGTACATAACGAGAGTAAAATCGATTGTCGCGAGTTGGTCATTTCGGTTTTCAAGTCTAGCGACAATACTGTCGTCGAAAAACTTGAGCTCAAAAGTTATACATGTCTTCACCAATATTGTTCTATGGACAATATCTAAGACAATATCTATGAAAATAATAAACACTTTAGTTCAGAATTATCTCGCTAGGTGACTCTGATGTACATGTGAAATTTGTGTACATGCATTATCTCATGACCTAGACTATCAGGGTTATTCTGCGTGGCGAATGAGGTGAGGTGACTCGAGTCACTCGTGTCACCCGATTCCAGCTGGCGAGTGAGGTGAGAAAAGTCACTTGGGATAACCCGATGAACTCTCACCTTATTCTCACAGTCGTTTTTCGGTGACAAAAGTCGTACTGAAGTGACGATTTTAAGTGACAAGAGTCGTAACCTCCGCTGCAGTCGACTGGATGGAAACCGTTGGAGTTATATAAGCGATGGTTGTGGTTTTTGGTAATTTATTACTTTTAAATTTGTTTCAATCATTTTTTTTTGTTTCCTTTCCAGCCAATAATTTCTTCGGTTTCCTCAATATGGGTATTTTTGGAATCGGAGTGACGTGTAGGGATCCGACACCCATGTCTGAGACCATTTTGAAATTCAAGATGGTGGCTTTCGGTTGGAGAAAAACTTGAAAATTCAACCAAGTCAAAACACAAGAATACGTCGTGGCAGTCCACATCTACCTGAAGATATTCCTCAAAAGCTGGTGCTTCTTGGAATTAGTAAGGTATGCAC